ATATATCCGTATTTCGTAATCCTCTCTATCTAATCTAAAAATCTTCAAGAATAATATTCAATAATTATAATAGAATATTGAAAAAAAAAAACCAAAAAAATTCTATTAATATTAATTCTCATAAAATAATATATATATTCAAATAATCGATGAATAAATTCCTATTCATAATATATATATATATTCGCATAAATTTATGAAATTAATCCTAGAAAATATAGTGATCATTATATCCTAAAATTCATAAAATATAATTCCAAAGATCAACGATCGATAAATATATCTAGCAAACCATAACAACGAAAAAATCAAAACGAATTGAGATTATTAATCTTAATTAATCAATATATCTCATTAAAGGATATTCAGAAAAACGACGTACATAGACAGAAAAAAATCATAAATTATTACGATCCCTATTATTAATAGAATATAAATACTTAAATTCTCGTCTAAATAAAGAAAAAAATATAAAATTATATAGATTGAAATTGAAAAATTCCGAATCAATATATCTATTCTTTCAATTTTAAATTACGCCTACCGCGCCCGCTTCCCCGCTCTCGACGAAGCACTTGAGAGATTCTAGAATTTCAAAATCCCATAGAATTATGATGATTTATTTTCGATCAGATTTCGGATATAGTGCTTATCATCTAAATATTTCTCGTAATTGAAGATTTCATCAAAGGTTCAATTGACAATCTTTGAATATGCCTCATAGAATGGTTCTTCGCCATCAATTGAGGCAAATGCCGCGCAATGGCTTGAAAATTGCCCAAAAAATCGTTAGCGTCAATTCGTATGTAATTATGTAAAGATCATACGACATATTTCGAAAATGAGCCCCTACATATATGTGGCAGGCCATGGTGCATGTCGCTACCTCTAATTTCGTAGAGCCTTGGAGGGATCCCAAAATGATAAAGCCTCAAACAATTCAACAGCTTTGCGTTGCAATCCGTGGAGGGCATCGTGGCCCTGGATCCCTCCGTCGTCCTGTTATATAGGGTGGGGCCTTTGGGCGACCCCCCACTTAAATCTAGCACCGCTCCCTGGATTGCAGGAGACAACAAAGAAGTTCATGCCAACGTTATCCACCCAGTAACAGTCTATATGAGGGGTCATATTAAGGGCCATATAGGTATATCATAGATATTATCCAACTGTTACTGAGTGGGGGCAGTACCCAATGTGTGGCCGGCATGCTGAAGGCCGAAGCCCTGGCTCCTCAAGTGACCAAGAGGTCTTGAGGTTCCTTATGGGGGTTTCCCAAAATCAGGGGTACCTTTTTGGGGGTCCCCATAATAACGACTATGGTATTTTGGGGTCTATATTGGGGTCCCCTTTTTTTTGGGAACTACCTTATCCCGCCTAGAGCCTTCAGCCCTGAATCCCAAAGCCATCAGCATCTTCCCCCAGTTTCCATTTCATTTTCCACTTTCTTTTCCATTTGATTCTCCATTATAGTGGTATAATATGGAACCATAATATTGGTAATCCTTAAACCGCTTAAAGCCTTCAACCCTGCAGTCTACTCTTTTGTTCATGGGCTCAGGCCAGCAGAGTTGAAGAATTTTTCAACACGTCGAAACAGCACAGCAGCTCGACGCCAGCCCAGCACAATCCATCTAGGAAGGCAAAATTGCAAATCTTCGACCAAACTTGGTCGAGGGCTTGTGAGAGGGGATCCAGGCCGTGCACCTTTGATGACTCCGGGCTGTCAGCTCTCCTGAATTCTACGGTTCCTCATACTGATGCTTCAGGCACAACTGGGTACGACTCTGCTCTGTGTTGTGAAAACGACATTCATACAAATAAGGACGCGGGACCACACGTATCACTTAAACATGTTAAGCAAACCCCTCCTGCGGCTAAATGTTCTTTGTTTTTGTCGAGAACACTGCAGTCAACCTCACATGTGCCTGAACAACGTGAACCTCTAGGCAAGGGGGTTCAGGCGTGGTCACAACAACATGTTGTGACTGATGCAAATCTAATTCTGGTCCATTCAACGAACGCAGCCCACATGAAGTTCACTGACACGTGGGCGACTCTTGTCCCGACTTCAACACGGGCTCCATGAGGTGCAGCTTCTCCTTCAGGTTGGCGAGGGTGAGGTTCTGAGCTGCTTGGCCTGTGGCGAAGGTGTTGCGAAGCTCGGCCAACTTCCGCACGGCGCTGCGCAGATCTCTCATGTTGGGATGTTTCACAGGATCTCCCTTGTCTTGAAGCTCCTCCGCATTTGCCTCCTCACTCTCCTCCTCATTCTCTGAGAGGCGGCGGTCGTACAGAGGGAAGGGCTTCCTGGCAACAAAGTCGAGCGTACTGAATCCATCCAGGGTCAAACCATCTTCACGAACGCTCGCTTCCGCGAGCCGAAGGCCTTTCCGGGTTCCGAGCAAGTCCAGCTCGACGTTGTCATCAGGGTCCCGTGTTGCCAGTTGGCAACTGGCTCCAAAGTTGAGGTGCATGTATGCCGAGCACTGAACCAGGAAGTTCCTGACGTTGCCTTCGATGACCGTGTAGTTGGAGAGCACCAGCACAATGGCTACTTCGGTGAGGCTCTCTCCTTTGGCGCAGGAGATGTGAAGCCCGGCGCCCCAGCTGGCCAACTGAAAGACTGAGGAGACCATTCCCGTGATGCTGGACCCACAAAGGGTGGGCAGATTCATGAAATCAGGACAATGACCTTCAGATGCTCTTCAATGCAACGCTATGCAACGCTCTTGAACATTCTAGGCCGCCTAAATCTTAGCAAAGGTCAACGGGGATGTCTGTTGCTGAGGGACTCTGGCAGGTCAAGGAAGAGCGCTTAGTAACTTGCGTCTCCTTACCTGTGACTTCCTGGGCTTGCAAACGGAGGAGGGGATGGCGAAACACATTGCTGGGCTCTACTTTCTTTGGCCTGCATGCTCGGCGTCCCCTTCTATGGCTATGGTTTTTGAGGGCTGCAGCAAATGGGTGTTCCCAGACCCGCCCATGAAAGCAGTTTGAAGTCTCCAGCATGTGTCAACCAAGATAGGCTTTGCCAGGCAACCTTCATGTGGAACTTTCCCTAGATTACTGTTCCCAAAATGGGGGCAATTCACATAGGGCCCCGTATTCTAATAGGAACCTAAATATAGGACCCGGTGTTGACAGTAATTTAGGACAATCCGAAACCCTAAACCCCAAGCCCTAAATCCGAAATCCTAAACCCTAACCCCAAACCCTAAATCCGTGTTAGAGCTTAAGGAGCCCGGAGGACGGAGAACCCAGCGCTGAGACCTCCTCGGGGTGCAGACTAGGTGTGGAGCGCCTGAAACCCCGAAACTGGATACTTGGGTCTCCCAAAATCAGGGGTTTAGGGTTTCCCAAAATTAGGGGTACCTTCTTGGGGGTCCCCATAATAAGGACTGTAGTATTTTGGGGTCTATATTGGGGTCCCTCATTTTGGGAAACTACCAATATGTGAGCTGTAGTCAAAACTCCGAGATCCCCTTAATAACTCCTATAATACCTTCCTATACAACCCCCTGTATCACCCCCATGCAGGCTCATGTGGGGGAGGCTAGGTTCCCCATCTCTGCCATTGTAGCCTTAAGCCCCTGCAGCAGCAAACAATTTTCAAGTCAGCAAAAAGCAAGTTACAACTAAGCCCAAAAACAAGCTTCAAGTAACCTCGCTACCGGGTCCACGGTAATCACCAACTTAACGCACCAAGGGACTGACGAGCTGCTGTGAAAATGTGGCAATCTGCGTTATCCATGCAATGGCACCGGTTGCGTCCATCGCGCAAGCCGCCTCGGGTACACCGGTGAGGTAGTCGTAGGGGCCGTAGCGAACGTTCTTGTCGCAGAAGTTGAGATGGGCAGCTCTCTGGATGAAGAAGATGTACTTGTAAAGGTTCGTGATGATGAAACCGACATCCACAGAGCATTGCACACCCATGCCTGCAAATCCGCTTCCCATGAACAAGCGGCGGCCGGTTTTGGGCTGCCGGCCGACCTGGGACATGACCGCGCCTTCATAAATTGTGCAGTCATTATCGAAGCAAGCTTTGTGCTTCTGTCGCAGGCCTTCCAGTGGCTCCTGTTTGCATGTAGTCATTGCCAGGCTGGTGCTTGCGTGTATTTGGGCGATAGCGGTGATCGTTCCAGTGGCAGCTGCGCCACATTCTGCACCAGCGTTCGGAAGGATCCCGCAAGTGGACACCGCATTCGACAACCACGTTGCAGCATTGCCAAGCATCTGTGCCATGGTTTCAGAATTCACTGTGCAAGCAAACGTGCCAACTTCGTCACGAGGTGGCGGGCAAGTGCGGGTAATGGCTTCAATGTCAAGGGCGAAGGCTGTCAGACTGTCCATGGTCTCAACGATGTTGAAGACACAAAAGGCTGTCCGATAGTCTTCCTGTGATCTCAGGTCCTGGTCTCTGATGCGTATTGGACGATTTGCTGCCAAGGCAACAGAACCCCGGGCCAGCTCTTCACGTTCGAAAGGCAAGTAATTCTTTTGCGCCCCTTGCGCGGCGACGGCAATGGGGGTCTGCAGGACCCGCACGTCGGGCGGAAGAACCGCAAGCTTGTGCTGGGCCTCGCTCTTCTCCTTGGCTGCTGCCATAGCAGCGGCAACGATGGCATCTGCCTCAGCCTTGGACTTCACCGCCTTGAGCTCCCGGACAGCAACCTCAAACTTGCCTTCCACGGACAAGGGAGTTCCTTGGAAAAGGGTGCGTAGAGGCCGGAAAGGAATCTGGCAAGGATCCACAATGAAGATCCCTGCGGCACACATCGCCAGAACGCTCAAGCACATGCTGGCAACCACTTGCCATCTACAGGGCTGCCAGTTGCGAACAGCTGGTTCATCCCCGAGCAACTCGATCTCTTCATCCGTCCCATGGTCCGGACGAGCCACCCTTGCCTGCCGCATCGCTCTACAAGCTCCTTGAAATTGCCACTTGTCTACGCAGATGGGCCGAAATTTCTTTTGAAGCCAGACCATAAGGTGGCATTGACACGGGTTCAAGCATACAGGCGTAGACTGAATATCTCACATCATGTCTTGATTTCTTGGTCAGCCGGACCACAAACAGACACAGACTGAACACAATAGCAAGCAGAACTCAACTCGCAATGTCGAGCAACTTTGTTACATCTGAGCGGTGGCGATGCACGTCTGGGTGGTACTATGGCTCCGGCACAGCGCGTAAGAAGCTTCTTTGCCATCTCCCCTCTGGCTTCCATGATTATTCAGCCTCCGCGGCTTGGAGAGGCTCAACCGCGGGAATTGGAAAGTGTTGAGATCTGACAAAGTAGCAAGCTTAAGGCATCAGGCAAAAGATGGGCCCTACGCCGTTTGCTCAACCACTCAATGGGGGCAGAATTCATTTAGGATTTGTTTTTGTTTGTTCGTCTTCCCTTCTAAAAACTGGAGTTTTTGGTAGAATGCACCACCACCATCACCACCTGCAGCAACATCACAAGCATAACTAGCCACAACTCCCTAACATCCCAATGAGGGCATTTGGCTGCATAAAGGTGAATGTTGGGGCACGATGGCTGGATGCCTGAATTTGCGAGCGCTGCTGAATCGCAGTTGCTTCCTCAGGGCTGTTGGTGCCACTGCATTTTGATTCAAGGTGTGTAAACATCACAAAAAACATGGTCCCTGGCCCATTCTTGCCGGATGGATTCCTCACTTGCATGCTATCTGTTAAGTTAAGGCTGTCAAGGTGCCACTGGCTTCGTTTTTCAGATGCCGCCCCAACCTCTCGCCGGAACTGCGACTTGAGCATGTCCAGCTCAGCCTTCCCCCTTGCCACAACGTTTTTGTGCAAATTCGAGCGAAACAGCTTCAAAACCTCCGAGCGCACTACATTTCTTAGCTCTGCAAGTGCTTCCCGAAAGGCAAACCTGTCAGGGAACACATCTGCGACCTCTTGAACTCCAGAACTGCGCCACATCCGCCTCTGCGAGATGCCTGTTACATCTCTCTTGCCGCACGCGCGCATCCACTGCAAATGCCTCGGGGGTGGGACTTACAGGACAGGAAGTGCAGCTGAGACTAGACTGGGAGGTGACGGCATGAACGACAACTTCACCACGTGCACGTGGATGGCATTCATGTGCGCAGCAAGATGAAGATCTGGAACTTTTTCCCCACCAAGAATTAGATTGGCTCGCATGCTTCAACTAGACGGTCATCATCGCTTCTCATCACTTGTCACCATCATTCAAGATTTATATGGACGTCAGCAAGGGGTCTTCATGGACGCACATGTAGTTGGCCCGTAGCTGGCAATCCAACTTTAGTACAAGTATCGGAAGCCAGTGGCAACTACAAAAAATGGCAGTGAGAGTAACAGCGACGATAACAAGAGAGCCACAATAGCAACATGGCTACAGAACAGCAGCGCTTGCATTAATTGATGGCATGTAGTAGAACTTAATATGCAACTCATAGCACACGCACGCACATCCTATTTCGACTACATTAAGTGCGTCCGTCCGTTTCTCCATCCATGCATGCATCCAACGGTGCATTGATCCATTCATGAATACATCCATCCATCATGCATCCATTCGTCCGTTCACATACATATGTAACACACATAAATAACGAAATATAGTTACATATATACAACCGCATACAACCACTCGCGAAGCTCCTGGAAACGGCCCTGACAAGGATCTGAGCCAATAAGCTGCCAGAGGTGCAACTCCACATCGGTTGCAGGTCGTCAAGCGATTCATAACACGCCGCAATGCAGGCAGCAGCCTGTGCAGAGTTGTTATCCAAGCGGTAGCCCAGAGGCTTCTGAACCTGAAGTCAACCACAAGACCTTCTTGCACTTTGACCGCCACTTGTGATTCATCTGCATGGACGGTTGCATGGAGCCTGCGGGTAGCTTATCAAGATGATCTTGTTCCTCGGACAGATCCACATGCTTGAAACGTGGCGTGATGCTGTCAACATCTTGGCCCTGGACATCGTGCGAGGAAAGTCCAAGTTGGCCTCTCGCACCAGCTCATGGCAGAAGGTGTCCAACCTGACATGGGTCAGACTTTTATATCAAAGTCCAGCAGCTGCAGCTTTGGGACGCTGTGTGCCCTGAGTACTTCACACACATCTCTCAAGCTTGCTGAATTCTTCGACAGCATTGAGATAGTAGTGGGATCAAACCTATCGTTCTTGTACCAGTAGTTCTGGTAGTACGTGTGCTACTACCACTACAAGCAAGAGTACCGGTTCTTATCCTACAGTAGTAGTTGCACTGGCAAAAATTTCGCACCAGCACCACCACGCTGATGCTTCATTACTCCACTCCTGCCACTTCTCTCTGCGGTATGTCCACTACGGCAAGTTGAGTTAGAATATGATTTGCCCGCAACCGGGCAGCTCATGGGCAAACGTCGATTGTCGGCCAAACTTGGGAATGGCCAGGGCAAGGTGACGGCTCCAGTAACCCTAGGATCAAGAGATGTTGAGCCAAGCAGCAGTAAAGTGGCGAAAGTCTTTCCATGACGTTTCAAGGATCTTGTTTGGCTATTTCTAGTAGAAAAGGTGCAGGATACAAGGGGTCTTCGCTTCAAGGGTTGAACTAAGGGTCAGAACGAGTCAGAACTTAATCGCAAGATTGCCATGGCAGCTGCAATCTGAAATTGTGATCACTGATCAGGCCTGTTGCAAATGTTTTTGCCAGAGCTCCTTTTCTTACTGCCGGTCCCCACCCGCTTGTACCCTCAAGAGTTCCAGGTTTCTTGCACAAACTTTCCATGCAGTGCAGCAGTTGCTATTGCTGTGTCAGTTGCCGTTGCTGTCGTCGTCGGCTGTTACTGCTGCTGTTGTTGTTGTTGTTGTTGTTGCTTTCGCTCCTGCTGTGTTGTTGTGGGTGATGCTGGCATTCTTGGAGCACAGGGGGTGGTGGCGGCTGTTCTGGCTTTGTGGGCTTTATATCTATGAACTTGAAAAGGGCAAAACATTTGAAGACAAGCGAAAGCGAAAGAATTCTAGAATCTGCTTTCAACCACTGTACCCCACAATGACTCCTCGATCCTTGCCGTGGTCATCATAGAAGTGGCAGGAGTTGCAGTAGCAGGCAGTAGCAGAGGCACTGGAAGTCGTCGGTAATACTGGACGCATTAGGAATGTAGTCATTGTAGTAGTAGCAGTAGTAGCAGTAGCAGTAGTAGCAGTAATAGCAGTAGTAGTAGCAGCAGCAGTAGTAAGAATGCATTTATGAAGACAGAGAAGGAGGAGTAGAAGTACTCTTGCTAGCTACTGTTGTAAGTAGCAGTAGCAGTAATCAGCAGCAGCAGAAACGGCAGTCATCACGCTGCATCTGCACCAAGACTCAGGACAACATTTGCAACCGTCCTGTTCAACTGTTGCTTTGGGTCGCGACAGCCATGGTTGACGCAAGGTTGGGTTTCTTGAGTGCTGCGCAAATGGCTGAGGGCCATGTCTCTCACTCAAACTTATGAAGGCTTTAAGGGCAGGAATCTCCGAGCTTGCATCCCCTGCTTGGGGTCTATGTCTTCGGCCTCCCATTGCGGCAAACTTCTTTCATGGGTCATGACCCCAAAATTTGAAACCATGAAAGCAAATTCCAGCACTCCAAGCCCGAGACAATAGACCCAGAACTTGAATGCCAAAATCCCAAAACTCCAGTCCTAGACCCTGGAAAGCACTGCAAAACATTTTGGACAGCTCAACACTCCTGGTCCTTGGTTCGGTCAATGCCAGTCTATGCTGTCAGCTTTTCCAGGTTCTTCTCTGCTTCTGTCTCCGGCTTGAATGGCCACGCCAAGTTCGTTATGAGGAACAGGGCAACTGCAATGCATAGCCTGTGCTCATTGCTGTCTTTCAAGAGATCCTACTCAATTGCATAAACGGGTCTCTTTATTCGTCACCTTGCTTGACTTCTGACAGCCCAAATACATGATTCCTGGCATCAGCTGCCTGTTGGTCACACGACGTCTTACTGGCGCAGTTGGGCTCGCAAAGCTGTAGGTGCCCATTCAGGCCCCGCCCTTCCATCATGAGTGGATGGGTGGATTTGACTCTGAATTTCTCGGCTGCAATTGAACAGCAGCCACGGGTAAGCAATCGAAAAGCACGAGAACGAAGCTACAAGCATCTCACATGTTAAGGTCGTGGTCCCACAAGCGCGTGGTGTTCCAGTCGCCCGTGCAGACCCCAAAGCACGGGAGAAACACGGAGAGGAGAAGCATGGAGAATGGCTTTCATTGGCTTGATGATTGCTCTCCGTTGGGTCTAGAACCTTTGCAAGCATTTACCAGCCTGAAGGCTGCAAAAGTGAAGGGGAGCCAGACGGTCGCTTGATGTCTAAGCTGCCGTTTTTGGAAACAGCTCACGATAGATCAGGACTGCTGTGCCCATGCCGGCATGCTTTATGCTGGACATTGGCGGCTTGCAACAAAAGGTTCGTGCCAAACCCAGCAGAAAGGCAGGCAGAGTCATGAACATTGGAGATTAATCACAACCACAACCTCAAAACCGCAACCCTCGACCCGGAAGACGAAACGCCGAGAATAAAATTCCAGCAATGCATACGACTGAAATGAACCCAGAGGCTGGCTCAGCAGCAGGACCTTGGTCCATTTTGAAGTCCCCACATGCTGGATGCTTAATCTCAAGCCCTTGGATTCATCACGAATGTATGGGGCACATCGAAGCGGTGGGGAATCCTACTGTATCTTCCTGTAGGAATTGTACTGCCGGGAAGACAACACCAAATTGTGAAAGGAAGCAGGCTAGCTCCGGTGTGAAACCGTACATGTGTATCCTAGTCCTAGGGTGTCTCATCACCAAGAGGAGAAAACTCTAGCCACAAAGCCGACGCAGCAACAGCCTGTAATTGCCCACTTCCACCTAATCACACATCCACGACCCTTCCCGTGCCCCCTGAGCCTCGACAACAATGACTGAGCGGTCTAGGTAAGGCGGTGCACGCCACTAATTCACAAAGGAATCAAGCCCTAAGCCCTCCACCCCAAAACCCTGCGGCTTCCAAAGCTCGGGGAAACTACGGCTCCTTGGATGGATCCCTGAAATTTCGCAAGATTGGGACTTTCCAAACGTATGTCTCTGCCATTCCACGCTGAGTCCTCAAAATCAAGCAGTGCCACATGAGCTAGAAATTTGCAAGGAAGAAAAGTTTCTAAACGTAACCGGATCACCATGAAGTCGCCTTCAAAGTGCCAGAAAACCAAGGCCAACAGAGGCGTCGGGAGCAGGTTGACAAATGCAGCTACCAAATGACCAATTCCTTGGATGTAAAGGCCATGTTTGGGGTCCAGACTGAGGCAGCGCTGCGAAGCTTACCAAGTTGTTGGTTGTTCTGAAATTCTTAATTTAGGATGCGAATCACAACCCACGTATTTTGCAGGCCATGTGCCAGAAGAGCTTACGTGAGACAAAGCAACCACTGCCTCCATGCAAATTCAATGCAAGATTAGCAAGATGCCTTCGTCGATCTCTTAAGCTGTCGTCTGGGGGCTTGTGCCTTCAACACATTACCCGAAAACGACAAAACCATGGGAGACAAACTGAAAGCCTGGGAACCAATCAGCCGCGCATAGACCTGCATCCAAATTCGTCCAGCATGCTGGCTCATTGCAAGCCAGCTCCAGAAATCTTTCGCACTTACACCCAAGACTACTTGGATAGAACGTTCGGGATGAGTGATGCGCCTTCGACTGTCTGCCAATAGACTACTCTTGTTGGAAAGCATGCATTCATCACCAATCCAAAGCTGACAAGGCCCGCCTGCGTGGGAAACTCGGCGCTCAAGAACCTTGGTTACATCTTTTGTTCAAGGCCACTCTGGATTAGTTACAGTCATCGAATGACTTGCGGGGCTCACAACTCTTGAGTCTGGCAGATACAACTCTTCTGGAATTTGCTGCCTAAAGCGATTCTTATTGAAGGAGTTTCTGCATCTTGCGAATTACAACACCTCAAGAGGGTCCGCAGGCCACCCAAGAAGCATGTAGTGCGTAGACGCGAAGGCATGGCGGTGCATTGCCTTGTTTGAGTAAGGAGATGCTTGGAGCCCCATAAACGCACTATACTTCGTGGTGCCTCGAGCTCCGGGTGTTCGCTTTCCTGCTGGACTTTGGGAAACGACAAGCTCTTCTAAAGGACACCCGGGAGCCGTGGTCAAGTCGAAGAGCGGCAAGATCCATTGGCCAGGAACCAGACGCATGCACTGCCAAAGCAGGTGTAAGGTTGCGCAGAGCAGGTATGGGGCCTGTCGGTGCCCAAACTTCTCCTTGGCTGAAGCCCTCGCCTTGTGGGAACAGTCTGATGCTGAATATCTTCTGGCATGTCTTGCTGACCCTGTTTGAAACGTGGAAAAATATATTCCATGGGCACCAGAGATCCACCACGTATGCAAAGACTGGGATCATAAATATGTTGAGGCTGTATTGCGAAACCGTGAAAATGTCCAGCTGCCACTGCACATCCATAGAGCTTGCGAAGGTCGCCTTCTTCCACATGAGCTCATCGTAGCGGAAGCTTAGCATGCCTGGAATTCCAATCCCATGGGCTTGAGGACTGGCAACTATTCCTGAGTGTGATCTCTATGCCTCGACACCCGAGTTCTGCATCCTGGATACGGCCCCACTATACAATATGACGCGGGAAAGGCGCCAGGATAGTGTATGGCGAGGTGACTAGACTAGTGCCTTTGGACCACTTCCCCTACCCTAAATTGCAGGGTTGAAGGTGTGGGGCAAATACAGAAGATCTAGATGCAACGATATGTGAAAATCATGGTCATGTGAAAGCCGAGGATGACCAGAAACTTCTTCGAGCGGATTTGCTCCATGACACCTGGGAGCTGCTGTTCGAGAGGAAGAACTGGGATGCCGTCCGCAAGCTTAGGGGATCGAGTTTTGGGGATTATTGGGGTACCCACTCTTGGAAAAAGCTTTCCGTAAAGCCTCAATGCTGATGTACGCTTACGAGATCTCAAGCTCTATGTACAACTGAATTCCAAAGGTGTGGTGGATTGTTACTTTGGCGTATCTCCCATACCAATGTCCTTTATGACCCCGCCTGGTCATAGAAAAAAGCTCGGCACCTAACCTCAATACAGGGTGGAGCTTGCATTGAACACAACGAGTTTTACTCGTGGGGAATGATAGGGACTATGTCGTTGGCTTTCTCAGCAACTCAGCATTTTGAAGCCCGTTTTTGTGATTGAAGCCCGAACTAGGTGGTATCACTTTCCTACAATGGGATTTCCGTGGATACTGAAGCTGCCACCATGTTCAACACTGTGGGTGTAGTTAAGAAGTCTCCTGACCAGGGACTGGTGCTCTCCTCAGCAGTTGTGGCAGAAGGTCCTGGGGCCCTGCCCGACCAACAGCTGCTGGAGATGGCCAAGCACAGGCCAAGCACTAGGACATGGATCATCATGACCTGCGGCTTCTCAACTTTATCTCCTTTCTTTCCCTCTCCCTCCTGCTTTCGTTCACCCCAACTTACGTTCAAGGCACATTCAATCAGTCTGAGATGCCAAGACATAGACAGTGAGATGAGTGCTCCTCCTAGACTACCTTTCATGCTCGCATACAATCCTAAATCAGGCTTGCTTATCACGACCAACTCCCTTCTATAAGGAACTCACCCCAAGCAAAATCAATAGGCCTGAACTTGAATATCAAAAAAGGAAAAGGTAAAGAGAAGGTAAAAATGGCGGAACAGCTGTCGCCACCGTGGCAGCGGCGGCCAGTATTTGTTGTCAGACTTTACCGATAACACTGCTTCTCCTCCTGCTGCTGCTTCTGCGGCAACTTCAGCCACCACTTCTGACCTCTACCATCACTCCACTCATGGTCTGCCGACGATACCACTACTGCCACTGCCGCTGCTGCTACTACTCTTGTTCTGGCCCACGGTTCGAAGTAAGTGTGGAGCATGCCTAGGCAGGGGATGTTGGGCTGGGATGTCTGCAGAACACATCGTTATTGTAAAGGCCTGAGCAGGCCAGAAGCTGCAGTGTCAACGTCACTCTTACCACCAAAAGTTACACAATAAACTTGAAATCCTTGAGAAGTTCCTATTATGGTATGCGTCTCTTCCTCAGGGCACGCTAAGTCAACACCGTTTCAAGTTAAGCGCGGCGCCAAGAGAACACTGCCATTTTTTAGCCGTTGCCCACCTGGCTCCGCGCAAGGCCTGCCCTGTATGCCAAGCTGAAGAGCTCCAGAGTCATGCCTCGTTCGATTCAAAACGCAGGCCGCAGTTTACCTAAATACTCAACCCAGATTCTTGGGGATTGGGATCCCTTGGTTTGGGCCACGTCTCAAGTTTGGGATTCGTGCTCTCACAAAAGCACTGAACGCGCAGAAGGCCTGATGTGACCCGGAGCGCCATCAGAATTCCCACCACGATGGGCAAATTACCTGAGCCATAACCAAAGCATGGTCTGTGTGGCCAAGCAATGTCCATTCCTCATATTTTCTCATGCAGCTGCCTATTTACCTGCTGCAGGCCTTTAGCTTGAGTGTTTGCTTTATCCAGCCTCAGAGTACGCACTGCTCACCACAAGATTTGGTGTTTTCCACCTGCTGAGTCTCCCTCAGTCTTGCCGAATGCTTAAGTAGCCAAGTCACTATAACTATGACTATAACTGCTAGCTAAGAGGTTGTCCTCGCGGCTTCACTTCACTTAGCCTTGATATCTTCGCAGATCCAAAAGGAACCAAGTTGCTGCTGCCCTTGCTTGCGCTGAAATTCGCCAAGGTCACAAAGCCTCGGTTGGTCCCGGCTGTGAATGACCATCTTTTCGGGGTTGCAGATGGTTGCAGTATCTCTTGTTATTTTGGCCTTCATTGAACAATGTACTGCGAAACCTTACCTGGAAAATCCTGACCCCCTAGCTTTTTGGCCCAAGACTCAGCCACCCATCCCATAGAGTCCAAAAGCCAATGGCCAAACCTTGCTTGTCCAGTCCGCATGAAGCATGCAGCTTGCTTGGGGCAGGGCACTTCAAAGTTCAATAACTGCATTTGCAACTAGCCATGCGCTGTGGAGTTGCTTGTCGTTCTAGCTTTTGTGCATCAGTCACTCTCTCCGGGTATTGGGTTTGCCTTGTGGTGAGGCGCGAGTCGTGTGCGCGTCGGAATTGAAATCAAGCCCACAGGCAACAAAGAGATGAAAGGAAGCTGGTCCTGACTTGACCTGGCAAATAGTGCAGCACAAACAATCTTGCTCAGTTGAACGTTCACACACTCTTGCGAGGTGAAGGCATGCCTTATTGACTCATATTGTGGCACTCCTCACGTTGTGATGCGGCGAGATCGGACTAGTGGTGTCAACCTTGCAATGCTTTTCCAGCTAGCCGGCAGCACCATGACGCTGCGGGCTGTTCCACAGCCAAGTGGTCGTGTTTCCGTTTGACGAGACAGAAATCTTGACCCTTTTTCCTGTACCTTGAGCCCGCAGGCCTGAAACCCAAACCTAAATCCTTTTGCATCGTGGCCTCTCGCAGTTCGAACGACAGGACGCAAAATCCCAAGTTTCATATCATCAGCCTGCGAGTTGTTTTTCAGAGCAGCCCTTGCAGCTTTGGGCACCTTCTTTCAGTTCCAGCTTCTCACAGCTTCGCAACCCTGCCGGTTTGTCCCGAGCTGTGGAGAAGACTACAAAGAAGCAGTTTCCAGAAAACTTTCTTCACGGTCACAGTGAACTGCTAACCAAGCAAGCCCGCATGCCTTAACACCCTGCAGGGATGCCCGGCAGACGAAAGCGGGTCGATGTTGTGAGCGCGGCCCATTCCCTGGTGTTTCTGTGTCTTTGCCAACGTGAACTTTGCTTGACACTGGGATGCAAGAAAAGGATTCGATGTATGGAAACATCTGGCTGGATCTGTGGCACAGGCCTGCATGTTTCAGATTGTTTTAGAAACTGTCCCTGCGACGGAAAGCATGTGAGAAATATTCGCAGCTGCCCAGGGACGAGGTTGCCGCTGGCGGGCGCAATCGCCATCAGGATGCTGCCAGCCATTACCACCAGGACCCCCACCTGGAGAATTGCAATTCAACGCTGGCATCGTTGCATCTCAGCAGCGGCTCTGCGTTGCCAATTCTACAAGTCCTGAAGTTTGACGGCTGCAGCTAGAAGACATGGGTATTTTTACGATCACCGAGGTGCATGGACCTTGTTCATTGGATAAGCGCCTCAGCTTGAAGCCCTCAACCGTGCACCTCAGCCGATACAACCAACATATATCTTGCTTGTTGTCGCATCCCGGCATCTGCGCCAGCTGATGGGCGAGAAGCCTATTCCCCTCAGCCATTTCATCCCTTTCGACGAGCCGGAAAAAATTCTGCAGGATCCAGTGTCAAGCTAGCCCCGCAAATCCCAACCATGAGCCACTCCGAACACAAGCCGCTGGCCTGCATCCCACGCCGTTGGCCCATGTAATCTACGAAGTACCCAGCCGGCCTAAGTTCTTGTGGGACTAGAGGAAACGCGCCAGAAACGACTCAGGATTCAGCGACTGGCCAATAAATCCAGAAAGCTGCTTGAAAGGTGACGCCCAAATTCATGCCCAGATCAGTGAAATCTACAGCTCCCAAGACTAATAGATATCGATGATATCGACAGTTTTTGAGGATCACCGACCAAGGAAACGACCCTTAGATCTAAGAAGCTCGCTCAACCCCCAAATCCCATACCCAAGGAGCAAGGATCCGACGTAGCTCATTACTGAGCCCACCGTGAAGACGAAACTGAACGCCACGGACCTTTCGGGGCAGTCGGATATGTCCTTGGTTCTGCAGTGCAGGCATCCCCGGCTGGCGTCGAAGTGGCGCTGTGGCATTAAGCAATGCAAAAGGAGGTCAAGATTGCATTCCTGGTGCGCTAGAGTAGGGGGGGTCTGAGTGGCAGCACGGCATTCGCCATGTAGGGGATGAATGAAGGCACCGGGAAGTTATTAAGGGCTGCTATGCCTGCTACGAGCAAACTTCGGGCCGGCTACATGGTGTACAGTGGAGCTTAAAGTCTTAAAGTTGATTAGCAACCAACTGCAGCTTCCTGCACTACAACTCGCGTTTTGCATTCTTTGGCTTCCTCATTCTTGTAGACAGCATGGTTTGGTATGATAGACAGTCCCAGCGTCGGCGCAATAGTGCGCATACACGCCTTCCTGGTGAAGTAGTCCAATGAAAGCTGGCCACCCCGGTACCAAAGCAGTGGATAAGAAGGCCTGGATGGCCAAGACCAACAGAACCTGCCGAAGTGCAGCGAGCCAAGGATAGAAACCAAAAGGCTTTGCTCTTTCCTAGCTTCTGGGGCAGCATGCCTATGGAACGATAAAAAATTTTCCATGCATTGAAGACAGCTGCCAACACTCCCGGAGATTCCGCGCAATTCTCGGGAGCTGCCTCGTCCTACATGTGCACACGTAGCATGAGGGCGGCTTGGCTTGTAGATGAAGAGCGCACCCGTAACATGCGCTCATGGGGACTCCGAATCCTTGCCCCCTCTATGTCAAACAAACTTGCGGCAAAAATCCGTGACCGTCCACAGGTGTAATGCAATAAAAGACTTTTATGAGTACTGAGTGGTGTGGCTTAAATAAAACACTAAAGTGTCGGACTCCAGGGGCCAACAGTCGCATGATCCCTGAGGCACCCAGCACGAAGCAAAACATGTACACAGGCTACCCAATGGCTGCCTGGTGAAAATCCCGACCCCGTTCGTCCTCGATTTTTTGAACTCGTCTTTCTTGGAACGGTGTTGATGCCCAAAAATACCAAAGCGAGGCCACGAGCCCGCAGAACATAATTGTGGCCAGGCAAATCAGTTCTGCCCGATCCTGTGCCGATTGGACTTTCTGATGGTGCAGTTAGTTGCTGGCTTAAGGTGCACACAAACCGGCACACGCAACTGCTTTTCCAATGGGACCTGCGTGGAAAGCTCCCAGCCAATTGCATGCTCTCCCTGCACATCTGGAGCCACCAGCCCCAGAAGGGGCATAAACTTCATTGGGAACAACTGCTGCTCGCAAGCTGCGCACTTTCACTGGCACAGCTGCTGCACAGCTTGAACCAGATTGGCTAAATAACATGCTTTCGGAGCAGGGATCTACAAACTAATGTGGCATCAACGAAAAACTAAATTGATCAGAATCGAAACCTGATGGCCACCTACATGCCTTCTGAAGAGGAGAGTGGGTCAGGAGGAGGCGGAGAAGGAGGGTTTGGGCTGAGGCATGGCCTGCCCTACTTGCCAAAAGTGGGCGGCCGGGTCGAGACATGTGAATTGAACATGTGTTTTCAACCATCTCGCCGATTTGAAAATTCGGTCCGTTCGAGCAGAAGGTCATGAAACATGCGCATGACGTCGGTCTGGTGGCGACAGCCTATAGGAATCGTTCATGAACCATGAACAGCAAGAGGCCTTGAAAAGGCTCACGGAATGCTGTTGCGTGTGCGGTAGTGGTGATAGTAGGCTAAACGATGAACCATCGGTGAGAAACCACAAAACTTATGCCTAGAAGTACTAGCACACATGAAGCATTAACCACATGAAGCGTGTACACACAAATGGCGC